TCATGAACCTTCCTTTTCTACCTTTGGTCACTGTTGGTAAGCTTCTCCTTCTACTTTTCTTTTGGAAAGTCTCTATGGCAAACTTCATTCTGATTTCTACACTTTAGGTAACAACCTTGCTGGATTAAGGCAATCAAAGCTTCTCGAAGTTGCCTTTCCAACTTAGCCATTGGTTTCTCCATAGATGCTACTAGTTTAGGACATTCCAATTTTTCTTTGGCACTTGAATATGCTAGGTTTACCTTCCTTTTAGGGTGTTCCGAGGCTAAAAATATAACGTTTGTTGTAACAACCTTGGGGAAAGGATTTCCATAACACCCATCACTTCTGATTTTTCTAAAAACTTTAACCTACCATCTTCAATTGCCTTTTGCACAATATTATGGAAACTACACAATTGTTAGTGGAATGTCTCCACGAATTATGAAATTTGCAATACTCTTTCCTGGCCATTTCGGAGGCCGTTGGCATCTTGTGTCTTATTACGAAGATTAATTGCTTGTCAGCCACGAGCAAATAAAAAATTTACCCAGCTTTGGAAATGTCAAAAGAATAACTCCTGTAAGAGTCTATCCTTTTTAACTTGGAACTGGAAGCGGTTTGCATATTGGTTGTGGCCGCTTTTGGTTTTGCCAAGGCCTTATAAGTATAGCCTTTCTTTATGTTGAGCTCAGCCATATTCACTTTAAAATCTCATTCAGTTTCAGTAGTAACCACCTCATAGTTAGGATCATGATAGTAAGTGCCATTGGAAGAGCTTTTACAGTCTTGCTCTTCATGAAAGAGCTCTTCATACTTAGCCACTCTGCTAGCCAAGTCGAATAAGTCATGAAATTGTGCTCCTTCAAATTTCTCATGAAGTTCAAATTCTAGATCGTTCACAACCATTTTTACATATTCTTCCGATGGCAAAGACAAATTGCATTTTTATTTGGCTCTTCTAAATCTGGAAAGGAAGCTAATCATCGACCCTCCAAGTAACTGATGAAATCTGAAAAGGTCTACCATGAACACTTCAGGCTCAACTCTATAGAACTGAGTATGGAATAATTCCTCAAATTGCTGCCAACTTTGGATAGAGTTGGCTGGTAAATTGGAATACCACCTGAAAGCATAGCTAGTCAGTGTATTTGGAAATAAGCGTACCTTCAGCCATGGATTGGCTGCTGCTTCTCCACATTGGACAGTGAAACGGCTGACACGTTCCAATATGGACTATTCACCCTCTCCATTGAATGTTGCAAATTCTAGAATTCTGAAATTCCTTGGATACTTAACTTCATCAATGAACTCTGGATAGGGCTTTTTGTAGGCTGGTCTTCCACCCCTTCGAGTTAAGCCAAATTCCTATTGGAGGAATTCTGTAAATTGGCCTCTGTCAAGTGCCATAGGTTGTGGAGGGTTATTATTTGGCCAACGTTAAGGTTGATTGACCCCTTGATGCCCCCTGCCATTAGCACTGGGTTGGAATCTACTTAGTTGTTCCTACCGCGGTTTCTTCCTCCTTGGTCCAAAAGTGGCTCCCTTGGAAAAGGTTGCCCCCCAACCACCATAGGAATGACAATGTGTGGCCTTGGAAGTATAGCCGCTAGCCGAATGTTCACATGCGGAACATTTTGCTGTGTTTGAGGAATGCTGTATGGCTATGGTTGGCCAGGCTGATCATGCCAAGTCTACTGTGGGAACACCACAGGTGGAGGGTTCTGAACTTGCTGAGTAACTGGTTTGGGTGTTGATTATGGAATGGTCATCTGTGCCACTGGAGCGGCCATAAGTGTAATTGGAATATAAGTCTGTGCTACTGGAACAGACTGCATTTACTGCTAACTTAAAGGGAATGAACCTATATATTGTTGAGAGGAACAGCCTTCAACAAATATGGTGATCCTATTGGCTTGAAAGGCCGATTATTGAGTCCCTTCAGAATTGTTTGGCCAAGGGGCCATAACTTAAGCCAAGCTTCTAAAAGACTGTTTAATATAGATTTGAACCTATGAGAGATTTGGTCCACCAATTCTTCTAGCTTCTGCTCTTGAGAATGAGCGGCTCTTGTTTGGTCTTGAGTGACCTTTACTAGGTCTTGAGCATGCCTATCTTGTTGCATGGCCATCATGCAGATATTATCCATGATGGGTCCGTTTGCCATTGATTGAGCAAACTTTTCCACCAAATCTCTTTATTCGAGTGTAACTTGTGAACTTTTGACTAGAAGTTCATTGGCTTGCATCTTTTCAATTTTAGCAGGTTCTTGGACAAATTTGCTTTGCCTTCTTCTACCGGCCATTGAACAATCTGTCGAGATGTCCCCCCGTACGTGCCAGTATGTTTTGCTCAGAAAAAATGCACGGTTCCACTTTCTGGGTGAGTGGAAAGCAAAATTATAGGGAGCGGGCATGCCAGGAATTGCTGTCGTTCTAAAGTGGATATTCGAATAATAATCCAATTAGAAGTTCTAGGGATTAGGCGATTGTATGAAGGTCTGGAATGACCACTTTCAAAGGGTCTTTTTGCCTTGAAAAAGGACTTTGGGACTTTTCTATAGCTAGTGAAAATGAAGACGGTATTGAAAGTGCTGGACTTGCAATATAAGTTATGGACTACTTGCTAGAAAGTAGGAAAAATAAGTGTTGGACTTAAATTAAACATAATGTAAATACATTACAGGAATGTAAAGATACATGAAATGAAGTAAATAAAAGTGTTATTTGTTATATGTGTTGAATAGGATTTGTAAGTTAAGCCTTAGTGCCCTATTTATAGACTTTCTTGCATGCAGCAGTTTAATGTAGCAGCTTCCACTTGGATTGGCTCCGAATTGCCAAGTGTACCATGATCTTTTGGCAGTTGTAACCACCTTCTTCCATCTTTTTCTTCCGCTTTGTTTCTTTTGAGCATGACTTCAAACACGTCCTCCATGATTTCAAGTTTATGTATACTTTTGAAGTTAACTTTCCACTTGTCCTATTCACAAACCTAAGTGCGTCCTACGATCTCTTGCTCCCTTTTATTTTGCCATCGATTCCTTCTTCATATTTCGGACACAATTTTATTAACTTAGCCTTGTCATCCATAATCTTCTGTAACTTCCTTCAGTTAGTGGTAGTAGTTGCATGAAGTACCACCACTTCCAACTGACGTATTCTTCTTTGGCCAAGTGTCCCACACATTTGCAGAATCCTTCTTTTTGTATATATCATATATATCATGCATATAATCTATATCTATTATTTACAAACCCACTCTCCTCGGCTTTGGGTAACTTCATTCTAGTTGGACTTTCCTTCCAGGTCTTCGTTTCCATGGCATCATGCCCCTTTATTTCAGCGACTTCTTCATCGTGGGCCGTATCTGATATATATATATATATATCCTTAAATGTAAATCATCCTCCACGTCCCTTTTCTTCTGCAAACCACGCATCCTTGATTTTAGTAAGCTCCCTCAACCAGACTTTCCTTTCTGGTTTTGGAGTTCATAGCATCATGGACTCCTTTATTTCAGCAATCTCTTCATCCGGGATCATATTTCAATGTATATATATATATATATATATATATATATATATCAAAAAATATATATTTGCCATTTTAAACCATCACCTACTTCCCTTTTTTTTCTATAATGTTGCCGAATTAGCGGAAATAGTTGTTTGAATTCTCCTAAAAATAAGGAGAAAATCCAGCCCACATTTTGCTTGGTCAACTCTGGCCTTTTCATAATGGGAAACCTTCCTTTTACTCAGGATTCTTTGAAAACACAATTTTTCCATAAACCTTTAATAATAATAACTTTTAAAAGAATTGTTATACCATGGCCAGCACTATGGTAAGCTCAGTAGAACTCGCCACGTGTTGAGAGCTAATTGGTTGAATTTGTCTCGAGTAATTGGATGGAGTTACACAGTAATATTTCCATATAACTTTTATATTCCAAATAGAAAAATGTGGGCCATCGTTTTAAAGATGGCAAGTCCTAATAGGACTCACCTCTTTTTCTTTTAGGATAGAAAATTGCACATGGTAAGATTGTACTGGCCACTTGTCTTTGATTGCTACGTAAAATTAAATAGCTTTAATACTTCAATAATAACTTATTAGAGTTGCGATCCAGTGTGGCAAGTTCCATTGAAACTCGCCACATACTTCTTCCTTATTGGCAGATATTACACAATCAATCTTTAGTAATTCCATACTATGATTCCTCTTTTGGATTTTAAAGCACCAATCCAGTGTGGCAAGCTCATTGGAACTCGCCACATGTCACCTTTCCATTAGGCCAAAAATAATAGGATAAACATTTTGTATTAAAAATTTTCAATTCCAAATTCAAGGTGCCGATTTGGTGCTCCCAAACATAACATAATTATTATAATACATTGATGTTATGTTTGAGAGTACCAATTTAGTTCAAACATTGTACTAAATTTTCTCCTATTCCAAATGCAAGATGCACAGCATAATCATCATAATTAACGACAAAGATTGCTTTACACGATCACGACTATGCTTAGGGTGTGTTCGGCTGTATGAAATTGAAGCATTGAATTGGAGAAAATTTTAGTTTAATTTTTTGAGATGCTTTTCTTCAATTCCACTAATTCTAATTTCATGTAGCTAAACGTAGCCTAGCACAATCCTGGAACCTTCTTCAACCCTCATCTATCTGCTTTCTTTGGTAATCCACTAGTATCATTCTCGGACATTAATGTTCACTATTGGTGTCCTTGGCCCGAAATCTAGCATTTCACATTCCTCTGCAAGAGTTGGAATGCTCTGATGAATCTTATCAGTCACATATGCAAGTTTTGGAATTCGTCCAATACGGCACAACATCACCTACCGCACCACGGCAGAGGATCGCCAAGGGGGCATAATTTTATTGTAGTACATGATTGTTATTTATTTTTTTATTTTTGTTGTAGTCTATCATATCTAGAAAAATGGAGAACATAATGAATTAATTATATGACTAACTAATTGCATTCGGTTTAAATGGAGCAGATTTCTACAATTGGAATCGTGTGAATCTTAGATATTGTGATGGAGCCTCTTTTGCTGGGGACTCCAAGTTCGACAATGGGGTATAAACTCCCAAAAACTTTTCCTCTTTACCATAATTCTGTGTGTTGCTTTTAGTGATTGTCAATGATTATAATTTTTTATTTTTTATTTTTGTGTGTAAATTATAGAAAATATCAATTAATTATAGTAGCGTCCTTCTCCTTTTTCATTACTTTAAACTCTAAACCCTAAACCCTAATTGCATGCATTTGACCAAAAAAATTATGACGTATCATTAAAAATGATTTTAGACTCGCATGGTAACTTGTCCCTTTTATCAGATTAAATGCACCATAAGTCATCCTAGGTTAATTATTTTGATCGATTTTATTTTAAAAAAAAGGGTTTTGAAATCCATAAGACAATAGAAATATTCTGATAATTTTGGAGAAAAGGTTGAGCTTAAAATCCCTTTTATCGAGTATAATGTAATCAGCATTTCAACATTATAGGCGGGCACTTATTTGATCAGATTAATAGCTACTTGGCGAATAATGAAGAGTACCACAAGAGAAAAGTGTTTTTTTTTTAATATTGTAGGGAGTGATGGAAAACTCGAAACTAATTTTCCTCCAATCTCAATGTCAAAGTCTCGATTCGGTATCGCCAAACATAGCATTAGTGTAATTGAGCTTTTACGACAACTTCACTAAAATTATATTAATCAATAAATATATCATTCCATCATGATTTAAATGGATTGTGTTGACCTATTTTTAGCAGGAACATACATTTTATAGGGGAAGGTAAATATTTTTGAAATTGTAGCCCTTGGTGAGGGAGTGATATAACCAAATTGTATGTGTAGTTCATTATGCCCTATAATAACTAAGCATCTTTCTATGTGATATGAACAACAGACATCATTGCTTTACTTCAGAGGGCAAAGGATCTGGCAAGCAATTATTCTTGACCTTCTACCTAAAGGTCTGGGCAGTGCAGCAAAGGTATTGAATCCGTGATGGAGCCAGCTGAAAAAAATTTCAGGCGCACATTATAAGTATTGTATACCATAATATATATTTACAATATAATGTATATGCATATAAGTGTATATATATATATATATATATATAGAAAGAGATAGTGATATTTTTGGAATTAAATTAATTTATAAGTAATGAGGAAACAATTTAGGAGAAAAAAATATAAAACATATATAGAATTTTATGAAGAATGAGAAGGGCACTTTCCATATCTTCATTAAAAAAACATATATATTATTATAAAATATATATAGAATATAAGAGAAGGAGAAAATCCAGGGGGCACTTGCCCCTGGGTCCTTAACTGCTTCCGTCGCTGATTCAATCTATTGATTTCATGTTGCATTCGGGAGCACTAAATTGACATTCTGAATTTGGAATTAGAAAAAATTAGTTCAAAATTTTAACTAAATTTTATCCGATTCAAAATCCAAGCTGCCATTTTATTGTTGAGACAAAAAAACACCATGGTTGAATCTTAGATATATATATATATATATATAACAAAACAAAACAAAAAAAAAAAAAAAAAAAAAAAAATATCCCCATGGTTAAGTTTTCGGACTATCTAGGAAGCCATTTTGATGTTTGAAGCTCAATTTCAAAATGTACCGGGAATAAAAGTTTACATGAAGTTTTAATTACGAAACTAAGAGATTCATAGAGACAACTATAGCTAATCGAAGATCGTTCTTTGCTTATGATGTGTAGGTTTGCTTCGAGTTAGTGCAGAGATTAACATGTGATTGATTTTGTTGTCTAGGCTTTGCTTTCGGGGTGCTCTGCTGGTGGTCTGGCATCTTTCTTGCACTGTGACAACTTCACCAGCTATCTACCATGCAATGCTAGTGTAAAATGTATGAGTGATGCTGGATTTTTCTTGAATATGTGAGTTATTAATTATTATCCCTTCAATTGAAAATGTTAAGCTGTGTTTTGTTGCATTTATTTATTCATTATATATATATATATATATATATATATATATATTTATGTCCTTTAAATGTTCGATTTTGGCTTTTCCCTTGCAGAAGAGACATAAGTTTGAACGAAACCAAAAAATCCATCTACGATGACGTGGTTTCTCTACAGGTGCACCGTGCACCTTTCAGCATAAAGAAAAAATATTGAATTAATTTAGTCCAAACAATATATATGTGCTTCAGATGCTGTGGGGATATATGTTTTATAGTTAAGGTCTTCCATTTTTCTTTCTTTTTCTTTGTTGTTCATTTCCTATTTATGCCGTTTTTCATTAAAGAAAGCTGGGGAAGTGGTACCTTATGTGCCCTTAGAAAGCTGGGGAAGTGGTACCTTATGTGCCCTTATAAACCACTGCTACATTTGATATTCTTAATCATAGATGTTGTATTAATGCATTAGCATTTGACATTACAGGGGGTACAACAGAATCTGGATGGAAATTGCACGAGTTCTCGTAATGATCCAAAACAAGTATGAGTTCTAGGAATGCTAGTTTTCGTTGGTGGTTAGGTACTATCGTATGGCATTGTTCTGAAAATTGAGTGTTTGTGCAGTGCTTCTTCCCACAGTATGCATTGCCTTACATTAAAACGCCTTTCTTCGTCTTAAACGCGGCATATGATGTGTGGCAAGTAAGTGTTTTCCTTCATTGCGGTAGTCCCGTGACATAAACTTTGTTATGCCTGTAATATGCATCTGCTAGGTGACACAACTTTCCGTCTTTAACAGTTTCATAATATATTGGTGCCCTCTTCTGCTGATCCCGGTCGAAACTGGAGCCACTGCAAGCAAAATCTGACAGCATGTAGTTCAGACCAAATAAATATTTTGCAAGGTTGTTTCTGGGCTCTCTCTTTTTTCAAACAAAAGAAAACTTCTCAGTCAGTTAAAAATACTTCAGTTGTATTTTATATTCAAATATACTTTTTTTTCTATTCTTTTGATGAATAATTTTCTTGGGAAAATTATTTTGTTTCTCAATCTGCATGATTGTCTCCAATTATGCATCTAACGTATATATATGTTCTTTTTATGTTCATATATATGAGAAATTTAACATAATATCACCTCCTAAAATTTTCAATTGACAAATTTTTTTTTTTCTTTTACTCCTCAAAATTCCTTTGATTCCTTAGGGTCCGTTTGGTTAGCGTCAAGTAACTAGAAAGGAAAATATTTAAACTTTTTGGAAGTTTCGTCGGAAGGAAAGTGAAAATTTTGGGGAAAGTAGGATCCCCGCATCTGAAAATTTTTCTCAAATTTTTTCGTGCAATAAACACAGAAAAATTATATTTCTTGCAAAAGTTGTGCATTTTATATTTTACTTTCCTATTATACTCATATTAGTTGTCTATCTTCTACTTCACTTAATTACATAGACTTCCTTGAAAAGTGAAAGCTTCTTTCTTTTGTAAATTACTTTTTTATACAATCATATATGACTAATTAAATTGTTTGTACTTTTTTTATGTGTGCATCCAAAATTAAATAATTTCTTCCTTTTATTATTGATTTTTTTTTTTTTTTTTTTGATTTGTCTGAAATAAGTAAGATATTTTTTTTCTATAGTTAATAATGATTAAGAGTTATTATATATATGCATAACTATTTGTTGATAGTAAGAGTGTTTGGTGAAAACTAATCTATATTATCTTAACACAATTTGTTTCATACCTAACATCAAACATTATCTTAAAATAAATAATTGATGATTCTTAAATAGTCTTACATAATCTATCCATGACTTTTAATTTTATGAGCCCTGAGTATCCTATTACATCATTTATAAATAATAAAAATAAAACTAATAGAAAAGAGAAAACAAATACTTGAATTTTGATTGTCCACTTTACCAAAAACATAATTTTCTTACCTTAAAAGATAAAATATCAAGAATTTAAGTTTACATGACATCGTATTATGATATCACATACTATTTATTCTATTCCATATTTCATTGTTTTCTTAAAATAAATAATTAAATATAAATAATATTCATCTAATATAAATTTATTTATTTATTTACTATTTAAAATTATAAGGATATTTTTAGTAAGTAGAATCATTTTCTTTTCCTTTTCATACCATCCAAACTAACAAAATAATTATTTATCACAACTTTCTTCAAAAAATTACCTGCTAACCAAATGCACAATGGAAATTTAATTTTCCTTTCTTTCACTTCACTTTTTTTCACTTTCACTGTTCATAAAATTTTCTTTCTAACCAAATAGACCCTTGCAAAAAAAAAAAAAAAAAAAAAAAAAAAAAAAAAGTCTCATATTCCTTCCTCAACCAGAATCTAATTTTTCTGCCTTCAAAGTTTTCTCAATTTTCGTTTCATTTTGTCTTCTTCTATGTGTGTATTTTACATTCAATGGAAATATTATCAATTAACCAACAAGCTAGTGGGCTAGCGGTATTGGCCTCTTACTTCTTAAAAAGAGGTCAGGGTTCAAGTCTCAGAAAAGACGTTGTGTGTGAGTACCAATTAAGAAAAAAAATATACATATTATCAATTAATATATTGGTTCTTGTATCTATCAAGTATTTATCTTTCTTATACTACTCCTTAATTAGCATGTTATTTTGCAATGTGTGTGTGTATTTTTTTTTTTTTCTTCTTTGACTTTTGATTTAAACAATCTATATTTGTAAAGTAATTACTATGCCTCCTGAAATGAAATATTGGCTCCATCCCCATGAATATATAAGGAGGAAATCATCAATTATGCTATTTTTTTGCAGTTCACTACAATGCAATATAATATATTTGTTGACTTGGATTTTTGTTAGGGTTCAGGAACGATATGCTTGGAGCTTTGAGTTTGTTCTACAATTCGTCAAACAGCCGAGGGATGTTTATAAATTCGTGTTTTGCTCATTGCCAAAGTGAGTCACAGAACACTTGGTTCGCGCTCAACTCGCCAAGATTTAACAATAAGGTTTATAAACCAACTCTATCCCCAGTTAGACAAATTAGTTTTAATGAATTGCCATAGTTTCCAAGTTTACTGCAGGAGTTGCATGAACAAGTGTGTTTCAATATGGGTTGAATTTTCAAAATGTTTTCAAGTTTTAAAATTTTATTGGATTGTTTCCATTGTGACTAACAACCGAACAATTTCTTCCAGACGATTGCAGAAGCAGTTGGTGATTGGTATTTCGGGAGGAGGGAGACGAAGGAGATCGACTGTGCATACCCTTGTGATAATACCTGCCATACCAAGATGAGCTGATACCACAGGGTCAGTTACTGCCTTCCTAGCATTGGACGTTCTTAAATTTTCAATTACGCTATCGGAGCTCATTTTCAAATGTGATATATATATATATTGCAGGTCCAATTTGAAGGATTAAAGGTTACACGGAACTTATGGGATAGTTCTTCTAAGAAGAATCTCTCATTTTCTAAGGAAGAAAGCTGTTTGATACCTTTATTATGAAGGAAGGGATAGTTTATCTTAAGATCTGTACTTTGCATTGATTCTAATAATATCAAAAGGTTCATTGATTTTTTGTTGTGTGTGTCACACACTCTTGGAAATCACATGGTAGAATATATGATTTTAGATCTCTCATGTGTTGGAAATGGGGCATACAAAACAAAAACTTTGGATGAAATTTATAGTAGATTTTGCCCTTAGTTTTTTGCGGATTTATAAACGAACGCGTTCCTCTCGGAAAGGAGATAACTTAGTATATTTACTTTCCCAAATTTGTCTCCGGGTGAATAAGAAATTAGCTCCAAAGTGAGGTGGTTGATAAGCCTAAGTGAGTATGCCAAATGTGGGAAGTACTTAATCCCACATGGAAAAAAATGTTGAAACCAATTGAAATTCAAATAAGCTAAGTTTGGATCTTGGATTTGGGCCTAAGGGCACCCAAGTTTTTAAGAGGGGCAGGACCTGGGCAAGCTTGGGTCCTAACCATTTACCACACACTCGAGCGCCCCGCCTGGTCCGGGTTTGGGCTTTGGCTTAATTGTAAGGTCCAGTTATTCTTTTTACTAAACGGAATTTTGAATTGGGTCTGTGTTCGGACTTAATTTATTTTGGGCTAGGCTAATTTAAATGGGTGTCACAAATGGGTGATTGGTATTTGAATTTAAATTTAAATTGAAAAAATCACTTTTTAGTTTTTAAGGCAACTTGCTTAAAAACCACTTTTTAATTTTTTTTTCAAAGGGGTTGCACCCACCCGAAAAGACACCTTGTTGACTATAAATACCCTCCCTTGGATCATTTGCAAATCACACCATTCATAAATCAACCTTCTCCATTTCTGAATTCTCTTCCTCTCTTTTCTTGTGCATTCAAGCCTTAGTTTGTGGGTTCGAGTCTTAGTCTGTCATTTTGAGTCGGCCTTCGAGTCTACTTCAGAGAGAGAGTACTACACCGAGCTAGTTCGCCCATTCCTTTGGTTTGTAGTGCTACTACCGAAGGAAGAAAATGTGTTGTATCTTGGGAGATAGACGCCACTGAGTTCGTTAGCACCATAGCGGGGCGAATCTATCTTAAGGACATATGATCAAATTCTAGCCTCGACTTATATTCAAGTTCTTTTATTTTATATACTTTTTTTTTATTACATATATATAATTATATTTTGTAAGAAATTATATATATATATATATATATATATACACATTATATTCTATATAATATTTAAATAAGTAAAACTATAGTATACGGTATACTTAAACCATATATTGGACTACAATCTTAAGGCAAATTCTACTTTACTATAGTATTAATTATTTAATTATTATTTTTGTTGTTATGATTGTTGTATATTGACTTGTGGTCTATATATTTAATATATAACAGAGGAATGGCGAGTACGAGTACTACTATGCCTAATATTCCTGTTAGTCATAAGGAGAACCAAAAAAATTAATGGGGCGGAGTTTAAAAGGTGGCAATAGAAAATGATGTTCTACCTTATAAACTCTAAATCTGAGCAAGTTCCTAACTAAAACTGCCCTAGTACTACAAGAGGGAGAGACTGACATTACAAAGTTAGGAGTTGTTGATGTATGGAAGCATTAAGATTTCCTATGCAAGAACTACATCCTCAATGGATTGGACAACACTTTATATAATGTGTACAATCTAATAAATACTGCTAAAGAGTTATGAGAGTCACTAAACAAGAAGTTTAAAATAGGGGATACTGGTTTGAAAAAGTTCGTGGTCGGACGATTTCTGGACTTCAAAATGGTAGACTCCAAGATAGTCATGAGCTAAGTGCAGGAGCTCTAGCTGATCCTACATGAGATACATGCTGAGAAGATGACTTTGAGTGAATACTTTTATGTAGCTTCAATTATTGAAAAGCTTCCACCTACTTGGAAAGATTTTAAAAATTATTTGAAGCATAAGCGTAAGGAAATGGGGCTCGAAGACCTGATTGTCAGGCCGAGAATTGAAGAAGATAACTGTACATCTGAAAAGAAAGCCGGGAATTCTTCAATGGTGTCAAAAGAAAATGTAGTGGAAGCTGGACAGAAAAATAAGAACAGGAAGCACTCTAAAGAAGATCCTAGCTAAGGAAACTACAAGAGGTTCACTGGGAAATGCTACATATGTGGGAAGCTAGGACATCGAGCTAAAGACTGTCACAGCCACAAAGCACAACATAACTCTAAGAAAAAGAGCACTGAGGTGCACATTGCCGAGGAAGATAAGTTGACAGCTGATGTGTCAGAGCTAAATCTTTCAGCTGTGGTTTCTGAAATCAACCTTGTGGGCAATATTAGAGAATGGTGGGCGAACACAAGGGCTACTCGTCATGTTTGCTTAGAAAAGAGGATTTTCACTACCTACGAATATATAGATAATGAAAAACAACTACACATGGGGAACTCTTCTGCTGCAAAGGTTGAAGGATAAAGAAAGATTAAGCTACTAATGATCTCGGGGAAAGTGCTCACTCTAAATAATGTGCAACATGTACCAGACATCAGGAAGAATTTGGACTCTAGATCACTCCTAAGCAAGAATGGGTTCAAGCTGGTCTTTGTATCTGATAAGTTAGTGGTTACTAAGAATAGGGTGTATGTGGGCAAATGGTACCTAAATTATGGATTATTCAAATTCAATGTAATGACTGTTGTACCCAAAATTATTAATAATAATAAAGCTAATGCTTTTGCTTATATAATTAAGTCATCTGATGTGTGGCATGGTAGGTTAGGACATATTAATTATGATACGATTCGTAGATTAATTAACATGGATTTTATACCTAAAGTTAATATTGATTTAAATAAAAAATGTCAAATATGTGTAGAAGCAAAACTAACTAGAACCTCATTTCACTTTATTTAGCGAAGTATTGAACCTCTAGAATTAATTCACAGTGATATATGTGACTTTAAATCCGTGCTAACTAGAGGTGGAAAAAATATTTTATTACTTTTATTAATGACTGCATAAGATACTGTTATGTATACTTGCTAAGAAGCAAAGATGAAGCCTTGGAAATGTTTAAACATTACAAGAATGAGGTTGAGAATCAACTTCACAAAAAGATAAAGGTATTTAAAAGTGGTAGAGGTTGCTGATCGGTTGGTCAATCATACATCAACCTTCGCAATAGCACGAATCATTGTAAAATAGGGCTATTGGTCGGGTAAGTCGAACCACTGGGACTGCGCTAGTCTTACGGCAACCTTAGTGTCTAGAATCTTTCTAGAATGATGAGGGGTGTTCATAGAGGGTTTGTTTTGTTTGTCACTAAACTAGGAATTCAAATGTGTATAAAACAACAGCGACTTGCAAGAATTAGATGAGATAGAACAATAGAGAAGAGACTAGGGAAGAGACTCCACAACCATCAATAAGCATGCTAGGATATGATTTACTTAGGGGAATAACATATATGTATAACCATGGGATGCAACAACACAAATTATTACATTCCCTTCAAGAAATTTATGAAATCAATAGGTAAGAATAACCTATCAAAGCATTGCATGTTTTGGTTACCTAAACTAGGTTGTAACCTTAGACATACTCACTAAGCATAGAGTTATCAAGCCCTTAATCACATAGTAGAAGCACATGACATAGAATCCAAGAATAATCTATCAAAGGAAGATCCTAAGCAATAGATTATCAAATCTCCTAAATATCATGCTATTAACAACACTTCCATAAACTCCATTCCATTGTCACTATGAAAATATAGCAATATAATCATAGGAGAAAAACCATCTAAGACAAGATATTTAACTCAAGATGATTATGTATAGGTATTGAAATTCATTACATCAAATGAAGAGCTCTAGTTCATGGAAGGATTACATACATATATTAACCCCCAAATATAAATCAAAACAAAGCAAAGCTTACAAAATGGAGCTTCATCACCTCTCTAGAGGAGGTTTAGTTACCCATGGTGGCCCTAGATGAAGGAAGAAGCAAGGCTTTCCCCTCCATTTTCGAGCTTCCTCCTTGAAGCTTCAAGAACTCCTCCTCTTTGCTCTCTTCTCCCTCCTCTAATCTTGTAGAATGAAGCTTAATGATTTTTTGTGTGGCCTTGCTTCCCTTTATTAGATATCTTATCCACTCCAAGAGGCTACCAACCAACATCTCCAACCACTTCATTAAAGAGGAAAACAAAATGAAGAAACCAAGGTGCAAGTGGGCTGAAATGAGCCATTTCCGAAGGGCATTCTGCCCAAAATTCGAGCACTCTAAGCAAGGCCTCGAGCACTCGAATTTAGTGTAAAAAGCTCCATGCTTCACTTGCTCTGCCCAGACCTACTTTGATGAAATGGCCATAACTTTGCTCTCCGAACTCCGAATGATGAACCGTTTGAAGATTTGGAGAGCTAATTCAGAGCTTTAAATACTTCATGTTTTGGTGGAGATACAATTCTCAAGGATGGTTGGTCGAAAATGAAGATCAAGGCAGAATTTCATTGCTGCCAGGCAGTTCTGCGTACCTCTGGTAACAAGACCATAACTCTCTACTCCAAGCTTCGAATGACAAACCGTTTGAAGATTTAGAAAGCTGATTCAGAGATCTAAATCTTTCATGTTATGGTGGAGATCCAATTATCAAGGATGGTTGGTCGAAAATGAAGATCAAGGCAGAATTTCATTGCTGCCAGGCAGTTGTGTGCACCTCTGGTAACAAGGCCATAACTCTCTGCTCCGAGCTCCGAATGACAAACCGTTTGAAGATTTAGAAAGCTAATTCAGATCTCTAAATATTTCATTTTATAATG